CCCCAAAACCCCAAAACCCCAAAACCCCATATAAGAGCCGGAAATTTGACAATAATAATTAATAAATATGAGAGCATTACCGAAGTGCAAAACTGCTGAAGATTGTGATAAGATCGCTTACATTGTTAGAAAGACTCCTGAGAACTTCCTCAAACAAGACATATTTATCTGTGCAACTTGTACGACATCTCTGTACTCAGGTGAACACTGAGAGTTGATCCCAGACATTGACTCAATTGTAGAGTGCCTATAGAATGGTAAGCAGTCATGGTAGTAGCCAAGAGGAGTATCATTAGACTTCTCAAACTGTCAAATCCAGACTTTAATGAGTCTATTCTTTCATTGCATCGCATACCCCGTTTCTTCGTGCTTACTAGTGTGTTGACAGTTTCAGGGTTAAAAGCTCATTTTGAAGGGTCTAACTCAGCAACATAGCCAAATTCAACATCAACAGAATCAGTGCTTTCAAAGACCAATTCAGCCTCGAAGAACCTTGGGACGGACTCATTGTTGTGCTGGACAAATTTAAAGAAGACTACGACCAGTTTAGAGGTAAGTGGGCGTTTTAATATGATATAATTACTGTTGATGCTATCTAACTGGATCAATGTATCATTCTAAAAAGTTTATGTCTGAATACCAATATCAGTAAACATCGGATCCTATTAAAAATTCTTATATCTTTCTCTTGGTAGAGCTCAAGAGTGATAGGAATACATCAAAGCTTATATTTATATCTTAAGGCTTTGCTCTCAAGATGGTATAGTGTGAAAATTTGCTCTTCTAAACCTTTTAAACATTTTCATCAATAACCTCAAATGCTCATCCTCGATATTTGATTTTATCATCTAAACTATTTATCTCTCTGCAATTTCTAGCCTTATTTAATTTTACTTCCAGCAAGACTTGAGAGTATTAGTGACCACAATCAGTGGGATCTACTTGGACAGTTCCAGAAGGATGCCAGAAACTTCCTGAACCAGATCTTTGATTCAGACTTAATGAAGTGTTTTACAAGACAGCTACAGTTCAGAAGCTACAAAGATTTCAAATTGGGAGTGTCATTTAAAGAGAAAGATTCTCAGGCTCATTTAAGACTGAAATTGGATGAACTTCAAGCAACGATTCAAGCCCAAAAGATCGACCCTCTAAAAGAACAACTTCAGACTATATCCCAAGTCTGCCAAGAGAAAGAACAACAGGTGGAGACACTGGAACAAGAAAAAGCTCAACTCAATCAGACTGTAGAAAGATTGACTGAAGAAAACAATAGAGCTTCAAACGATAGCGAGCAATCAACTCAACAGCTCAATCAAATAATTGAGACCTTGACTCAAGAAAGAGACAACAGCAATTTGTTGGTTGAGGAAATGAAGCAGGAGATAGCACAGCTGGAACAATCTAGTGCGAAGGTTGGGTATACTCTGAATCATGATGAACTTCAGTTTTTGAATAATTCTTTAAAGAATACTACTGGGACTATAAATGCTTCATCTGATTTGTGACTTTCATTTAACAATCCCTCTTCTATATCGCTTATAAAAGCTCTTCAATGTTACAAACTTCCTTCTCTTAGAGAAGTTTCTCTTGATTATGTTGATAAGTTCAATGAGACAGAGATTATCACGAGATTTTTGGAGAATGCACTGAGCAAAGACATCAAAAGATTTTACTTCCGAGGTAGAAACTCTTCCTTTATGAAAATAACTCCTTACATTCCAGCCTTGAAGAAGGTTCTCGCTGTTATTCCTGATAAAACTAATTTCTACAAATTTATGATCTCCAAGATTGAGCTCGAAGACTTGGTGGTGGCTGTCCAGCATTGCAAGGAGGTCAAGTTTGATTACTGCAAAATAGACACTGACCAGGAGCTTGATTTTGAAGACAGACTTGATGCCTCCACTTTTGAGAAGATTAATCTTAATGGAGTTGGAAATGGTAATCATAGCAACTGGAAGGATAATGGCTTTAAGAAATTTAAAAACATTATCAAAGGGTTTGCAAAAGTAGACCAAATTAAGAACAGACAAGTCAAAATCTATCTTGGAAACTGTGAAATATCTAAAGATTTAGCTGAATCTGTTCTGCAAGATCATGGATTGGGAAATATGATCATTGAAGGCTTATAGATGGGCAATTTAAAATAAAGGTCAAATATTTTATGCATATTCTATGTCAAATAAAATGAGCTATTGGATATTGATTTCAAATATAATTAAATGTCAATATTATCAGGGATTAATGGGGTTTTGGGGTTTTGGGGTTTTGGGG